GCGGGTCGTAATTTCGAGTTGGAGATATTTAGCGAGTGTTTTATCGTGTGCTTGGTGCATTTATCGGTGGACTCGAGGAGATGAATTAGGATGATATGATTTGATATCTTGATATATTCAGAGTCTCTTATTTGGATTTTTATGTGAAAATATGAAATTTTGCTTGAATTGACTATTCATAATATTTAAGCATGTCATTGCTCGAGCATATCTTAAATCGAGGAGATGGTGATGATTGTATTTGATCTCTTATTTTTCTTGCTTGGAGAATTGCAAAATAGATGACGTGAATATAATATGGATAACGATATCTCCTTGAATTCTTGTCGAGGAAACATCGAAATAATCCAAGTCTCGACAAGCTATGGTGGACGAGTTGTGGAGTTTCGAGGACAAAGTGAACGGGCATGGATCCATCAAAGCAGGGTGATAATGAGGGACGAGTCTGGATGGTGCCGATCGCAGGTGGCAATTCCAGAGGCAGAAATCATTCTCTTTTTGAGAGGTAGGATAATTGGGAGTGACATTCTCGACCTTCAGGTATAAAATTAACCTCAACTCTTGTCGATGGTCAAGATCGACTGACACTATTTTGTGACATATGGAGTCTCTTAGCGTTCTTTTTTGGGAGGAATGTTCATTGTTTGCATATTTTGGGTGAAATGTTGCTGAAATTATGGTGTATGTGGATATGTCTGGAATTATTATTTGGGTGACTAACAAAATGCAGAAAATGAGGTATACGTGGAGCCTCGAACAAAATCTGGCACGACTAAGGCCTTCGGGCTGGCCAGTCTCGAGTCATCATGACTAAGGAGCTCGGTATTGAGAGTAACTCATTTAAATTTTTGTTTGGAGCATTCGTTTAATGATTGTTTGTAGCTGCAGAGTATGGTTTGTTGCAACTGTTTGTTGAATTCATTGCTTTGTGTTGTTATGGTCGACTGTACATTTGAAGGGGTGTTTATGCGACTTCATATCGTGGTAGAGACTTGCATGAGGTTGAGGAGTGGTATAAACGAATGTGGACCAACGTGATTGCTTTGATTTATTCGTATTTTGTTATTATTGCTATCGGGATTGCAAATTGGATGATGTGGATAAAATGCAACTAATGGAATCTGTTGAACTCTTGTCGAGGAAAATGCATGAGGAGGTGAACTGGATAATGGCTATGGTAAGGAGTGGGAAGCATGGAGCAAACAACAACTCATGTCGTCGGGTACAAACATGAAACGGAGGTCGAAAAAATGCTTGATATTTTTATTTTTATATCTTGTTCGATATAACTATGCATTCGATGGGACTAACGAAAATGATAAATTATTATTCTGTCTCGTGGTCTTTGGTGTGTTTTCTTGTCGACCTCAGTGGCAGGTCGAAGTGTTCGAGCAGCTCGAAGAAAAAAATCCACCATGACTAAGGCCTCCAGGCTGGGTGGTCACATGTAACGACCACTCCTTTGAGGGTGGACATGTGTTCGAAGACAAAAATCCACCATGACTAAGGCCTCCGAGCTGGGTGGTCACATGTAACGACCACTCCTTTGAGGGTGGACATGTGTTCGAAGACAAAAAACCACCATGACTAAGGCTTCCGGGCTGGGTGGTCACATGTAACGACCACTCCTTTGAGGGTGGACATGTGTTCGAAGACAAAAATCCACCATGACTAAGGCCTCCGAGCTGGGTGGTCACATGTAACGACCACTCCTTTGAGGGTGGACATGTGTTCGAAGACAAAAA